AAAAAATGAAATCTTGCCATTTGCAACGACGTGGATGGAACTGGAGGGTATTATGCTAAGCGAAATAAGTTGCTTAGTCAGAGAAAGACAATTATCATATGATCTCACTGATATGAGGAATTTGAGAAACAAGACAGACGATCATAGGGGAAGGGAGGGAAAAATGAAACAAGATGAAACCAGAGAGTGAGACAAACAATGAGAGACTCTTAATCTCAGGAAACAAACTGAGGGTTGCTGGAGTGGAAGGGGGTGGGAGGGATGGGTGGCAGGGTGATAGACATTAAGGAGGGCACATGATGTAATGAGTACTGGGTATTATACAAGACTGATGAATCACAGACCTCTACCTCTGAAACTAATAATACACTATTTGTTAATTAATTGAATTTAAATTTTAAAAAATATTTTTAAAAATAAATAAATAAAGTAAAATTGAGCAAAGGACCTGAATAGATATTTTTCCAAAGAAGATATACAAATGGTGAACAGGTACATGAAAATGTGTTCAACATCACTGATCACTAGGGTAATGCATATCAAATCCTCAATGAGGTTTCACTTCACACTTGTTGGGATGGCTATTATCAAAAAGACAACAGGTAAGTGCTGGCAAAAATGTGGATGAAAGGGAACACTTGTGCACTATTGGTGGGAATGTAAATAGTATAACCATTATGGAAAACAGTATGGGGGTTCCACAAGAAATTAAAAGCAGAGTTACCACGTGATCCAGCAATCCCACTATGGGTATTTATTTAAAGGAAATGAAATCACTATCTTTTTTTTTTAAGATTTTATTTATTTATTTGACAGAGAGAGACACAGAGAGAGAGGGAACACAAGCAGGGGGAGTGGGAGAGGGAGAAGCAGGCTTCCCACTGAGCAGGGAGCCCGATGCGGGGCTCGATCCCAGGACTCTGGGATCATGACCTGAGCCAAAGGCAGACACTTAACAACTGAGCCACCCAGGTGCCCCTGAAATCACTATCTTGAAGAGATATCTACACTTCCATGTTCATTGCCACATTATTTATAACACCTAAGACACGGAAACAACCTGAGTGTCCATCAACAGATGAACAGATAAAGAAAATGTGTGTACATACAATGGAATATTCAGCCATAATAAAGAAGGAAATTCTGCCATTTGTGACAACACCGGTGAAACTTGAAGGCCTTATGCTAAGTGAAATAAGTCAGCCAGGGAGAGACAAACAGTGTATGATCTCACTTATATGTAGAATCTTAAAAAAACAAACTTATAGAAACAGAGAGTAGTTTGGTGGTTGCCAGGAGTTGGGGGGGGAGAAATGAGTGAAGGTGGTCAAAGGGTATAAATTTCCAGTTATAAAACAAATAAACTTTGGAAATGTAATGTATGACATGGTGACTATAGTTAACAATACTGTATTGTACAGTTCAAAGTTGCTAAGACAGTAGATCTTAAAACTTCTCACCACAAAAAAAAGAAAAGGTAACTATGCGAGGTGATCGATGTGTTAACTAACCTTTATTGTGGTAATCATTTTGCAATATATATGTGTATCAAAGCATCATGTTGTACATCTTAACCTTACACAATGTTATATGTCAATTATATATCAATAAAGCTGGAGGGGAGAGAAAGAGCCACTGTTATAGGAACTAAATTTCAAAATATTTTCAAGTGATGTACAAAGACTGGGTGGCCTGCATCTAGCACAGTATGTTCAAGTTATGGAAATGTATGATCTACAAACATGAAGGGGAAAGAACCCAAACACTTAAGTTTATCCAATTATGATTCCCAAGGGCCCCTCGGTGACACTTTCCCTGAACTCTATTTTCATTCAGTCTAGGGTTATGTTCTACTTTGTAATAGTGGATACACTGCTCAAGACTACTCTTGACCTTGGATGCCTTATTGTATCAGTCAGGATCCTTGAGAGAAACAGAAATCACACTCACAGTGGATAATTTGAGAATACTTTAATAAAGGGACCATTAATAAAAGTGTGGGCAAGATTTAGAGGTTACCATACCTAGGGCTGAAGATATGAGGATGATAACTGGAACCCAGAATGGGTAGCTATATATTCAGGCAACTTAACAACAGCTGTGGCCTTCAGCAGGCAAACTGAAGTCAACAATAGTGACTCCACAAGGAAGGAGCCAGAGGAACAAATATTCTTACTTCAATTCCTCCCCATGTTCCAATATCCTGCCTATGTCTCCCTTTGGCCAAACCCAACCAGGAAACAAAAGGTAAGGAAGTCCTTTGCTGTAAACAATAGAGGCCATCCTTCCTGGGTGTACAGCAGGGTGGAGAAGAGTGGAAAATGAATCTGGAAAGAAAAATGAAAAATATTCAATACATACACATTCCCTAGATATGGATTAAGTCTGGAGTTTAGTTCATTAGATTACTTTGTGTCTTCAGCCCACTGACATGTTTTTTAAAACTATGATTGTGGGGGCATCTAGGTGGCTCAGTTGTTTAAGTGTCTAACTCCATTTTGGCTCAGGTCATGATCTCAGAGTCATAAAATCAAGCACCACATCAGGCTCCACACTCAATGCTGAGTCTGTTTGGGATTCTCTCCCTCTCCCTCTGCCCCTCCACCCATTTGTGTTTGCTCTCTCTCTCAAATAAATAAATAAAATCTTTTAAAAAAAACACTATGACTGTGTACTTTACTCGGTTTGTTTTGGTTTTTAATAAGAGTGACAGTTTCATGGAATTTTCTACATCTGAATCGGTGGCAGAAATTGGATTCGGGATGCACTTGGAAGATAAAGCTAACAGAGTTTGTTCTAAGTTCTGCTACTGTACAATTCATCAGTCTAAGCTCTCCAACCCTCCATATCAACTGTAGGACTTATCAGCAGTTGACTACCACTTTAGTCACCCATCTTCATGGTCATGCCTTAGCCCTTGTCAACATTCATTAATAACCTAGCACACCACTCTTTCACCGCATTAGACCCCTGCAGTGCCCTGCCCACCCTCCATTTTCCCCATTTGCCAGTCCTTCCTTCCTGATACTGGATCCTGCAGTTGTTTGCCTGCTCTATACCCACCGATACATCTGCAACTGCTTTTCTGCTCCAACAGGTTAAAGGACACCTCCCTTGCAAAATCAAACCCCAGTTTTAGTCTCATACCCATATTTATCTTATCCTGTGTCTGAGTTTCTGGACACTGCTGGAGAAAAAGCCTGATTATGATTTAGGGCCGCCAAACTCAGCTGGGCCTCACTGGTCCTCTCTTTTGACTTGTTTCAGGTCAGTTTCCATTCCATTCTAGCATTCTAGTAACCAACATTCCAAATGTTTGTGACTTCTCTCAAGCCCCCCAGCCCAATTTCTACTTCCTATGTTCTCAACCAATAACTGTGAATATTATGCCGTTAATACAATTAAAGCAATTAAATATTTACCCCTTCAACTCTCTTCCACCTGCCACCTATTGAACCATAAACTCAGGCACTTGCAACACCTGGTTCTGCATGGCTGTATCTTCTTTCTTTCACATTGATAGATCTACTTGTTTTCTTAGTCACACCACCTCCTTTCTTTTCTGGGATTTCTATTCATTAATTACTTGCTTTATTTCCTATAATTTCAACCCTTCGCTCTGTACTGGCTTCTTCAATAAGAAGTCTACACTTGCTAAATTACTCAATTCCAATTTACTTCAAATCTACAACTTAAACACCTATACTTCTACAATAATAGCTCTGGAAAAGTCCAGAAATGTCTCCCACTTTGCCATTGTGATTGAGCATGCCTCAATCTAAACTTATTTGACTTCTCACAACCTTAGATTGTATTAAATATGACTTTCTAGAAGTTTTCTCTTCCCTGGGTGCCATTACATCACAATCTCATGGTTTTACTCTTATTTCCTTATCTGCTGCTTTTCCTTCTCTTTACTGGAGTCTCTTTCTCTCATTACTTAAATGTTGGTATTTCTCATGGACCTCCCCTTCCCAGGACTTCTTATTTTCTTAGACTATACCAGTTATTCTTAACTGACTATGCTTCAAAATCACCTGTGTAACATTTTTTTTTAATTTTAACCAGACTCCATACCTGAAAATATATAACGAATAGACTTATTTTCCTTCCTTCTTTCCTTCCTCCCTCTCTCCCTCCATTTCTTCCTTCCTTCCTCTTTTTCCTTATTCTATTCTTTGCACCATTCCTCCCTGCCTCTCTCATTCTCCTTAGTTCTTTTTCCTAACATTTCTCCCTCTCTTCCACCTACAGTGATAAATAAATATTCATTAAACAGTTTAAGTATTTCAGATATTGCACTTTGCACAGTAGGAATGTAGCAAATATTATAAATACGTGTACATTGCTTTAGAGAACACTGTAAAAAGTATCTATAACTGAATGTGAAATCCCCACTTTATACTCTACAAATCTTGCTCATCCTAATCATGGCCATAAATGTGAACCCAGATCACGATGGTAAGGCTAGTGCCTGGGCTGCTATCCCCCTGGTATGTCTTTGAGATTGGGGAAATATGGAGGTATGTGAACCATGGGACCAACACTGCATAGTTTACTAGGATACAGATAATGGAAGTATGTAGCTGAAGGCTCAACCACAACTCTAAGTTTCCCATAACAGACTCTGCAATTGAGGTTTATTCCCATGCACTGGAAAGGAGAAACAAAAGTAGCATAAATACCTCATACCCATTAGGATGGCTACTACCAAAAATAATAATAATAACAAATGATTGCAAAAGTGTGGAGAAACTGGAACCCTTGTGCACCATTGGTGCGAATGTAAAATGGTGCAGCTGCTATGGAAAACTGGATGGTGTTTCTTTGAAAAATTAAAAACAGAACTACCATATGATCCGGCAAGCCTACTTCTGGGTATATGCCCGAAAGAATTAAAAGAAAGGTCTTGAAGAAATATGTGCCTCTCCATGCTCATAAAAGCATTATTTATAATCACCAAGAGCTGAAAACAACCAAAATGTTTAGCAACAGATAAATGGATAAATAAAATACAGTATATACAAACAATGGAATATTATTAAGCTTTAAAAAGGAAGAAAATTCTTTCACATGCTACAGCATGGATGAACCTTGAAAACATGTTGTTAAATAATCCAGTCGCGAAAAGAAAAATACTGTTTGATTCCACTTATACGAGGTATCTAAAGTAGTCAAATTCATAGAAATAGAAAGTATAAGAATGATTACCAGAGCCTGGGGGTGGGGGAAATACAGAGCTGTTATTTAATGGGTATGGAGTTTCAGTTTTACAAGATGAAAAGAGTTCTGGAAATCTGTTACACAACAATGGGAATATACTTAAACATACTGAGCTGTACACTTTAAAATGGCTAAGATAGTAAATTGCATGTTATGTGTTTTTGCCACAATTTGAAACTTTTTTTTTTTAAATTTATTTATTAGAGAGAGAGCGCAAGAGGGGGTAGGGTTAGAGGGAGAAGCAGACTCCCCGCTGAGCGGGGAGCCCGCTGTGGGACTCGATCCC